TTAAGTTTGTTTTTAAAAAATATTTTCAATTTCAAAAATTATTTTCTACCCTAGTAAAAATAAAAGATATTTCTCAAAAAAAAAAATCATTCATAAATCCAACACTAAAAATCTTTTCCGAAAAATATTTTCTACTCACCAACCAAACATGAGAAAATAAGTCAAAAATCAACTTGTTTTCCAGGAAAACATTTTCCTTCATACCAAACACACCCAATCTTCTTTCTTTATGCTTTGTAGTGTTAAAGTGTTAAGTGGTTAATGAAAAATAAGCAATTATCATATTTTTAGGAAATTACATATCTGTAAAATAATTTTAGGATAGAAAAATTAAACTCTACCCAGATTAGTTTATTTACTTGAAAAGTTCAATATAATTTTTACACTTAAGAGATAAATCTCAATTTTCTCCTATGCTTGTCCTTTGACCAATCATCATGCTCATGCTATAATTCTCAACTCAAATTGCTTGCTAAGATTGGATCAAGTCTATGATTTTTGTATATGTTGAATACGACATATATCAATAATTTATATGAAAATATTTTTTATTAAGTTTTTGAACAAAAATATATGTATTGGTTGCTATATTTTATTAATAACAAAACCTTTTTCCTAGTGTGATATTTCCAATAATTAAAGATAATATTACATATTACAAAAAACGAAGAACAAAACTACAACACATAATGCAAAATATTCATTGTTATAATAACTACCAATGAATATATATTTTCGAAAAACTATTATGTTAAATATCTTTTAAATTGTTATAACTGTCAACAAATGAATATATATTTTCTAAGAATTATTATGTTTAATATCTTTTAAATTGTTAGAGTAAAAATGAACAAATAACAATTATAAAAAAACAACAAAATTTTAAATAAATAAATAAATATAAAATTTCAGAGAACAAAGAAAGTACAAAATGTATCAAAAAGATTTAACCAGTATTGATATATGTTAAATTAAATTAATGTAAAGATTGTCAATTTAAGTAAGAAGTTTATAAAATGAAAATAATATATATATAGAAGACATATCATTTTACTCATAAATAGCATTCGCTGAATGCGTTTTATGCCTTTCATTCTCGGCGCTTTCTATTTAGATATCTGAAAAGGGTATTTCAAGTTTTCAACGACACTACATTTTTTTAAAACATAAAATATTTATCATTTCTTGATATTATAAAAGTAATAAATGAAAGAAATAAAAATATATTATTAAAATAGTGGACAAATAAAATTAAACGGAAGTGGTAATATGGTAATTTCAACAATAAATAAGAAGACACATAATTTTACTCATAAATCGCATTCGTTGAATGTGTTTTATGCCTTTCATTCTCAGCGATTTCTATTTATATATCTGAGAAGAGTTTTTCAAGTTTTCAACGACATGACATTTTTTTAAAAGATAAAATAATTATCTTTTCTCGATATTATAAAAGTAATAAATAAAATCAATAAATATATTTTTAAAATAGTGGACAAATAAAATTAAACGAAAGTGGTAATATAGTAATTTCAATAATAAATAAGAAGACGCAAAATTTTTACTTATAAATCGCATTCGTTGAATGTGTTTTATGCCTTTCATTCTCAGCACTTTCTATTTACGTAACTGAGAAGGATTTTTCGATTTTTCAAGTTTTCAATGACATGACCTTTTTTTGAAAGATGAAATATTTATCTTTTTTTGATATTACAAAAGTAATAAATGAAATAAATAAATATATTTAAAAAATGTGGACAAATAAAATTAAACGCATGGGGAAATATAGTAATTTCAACAATAAATAAAAAAACGCAAAATTTTCTCATAAATCGCATTCGCTCACTGCATTTTATGCCTTGCATTCTCAACACTTTCTATTAAGGTACATAAGAAGAGTTTTTCAAGTTTTCAACGACATGATCTTTTTTTAATTGATAAAATATTTTTCTTTTCTTGGTATTAGAAAAGTAATAAATGAAATAAATAAATATATTTTTAAAATATTGAACAAATAAAATTAAACTGAAGGGTTAATATAGTAATTTCAACAATAAATAAGAAGACGCATAATTTACTCATAAATCGTATTCGTTGAATGCGTTTTATGACTTTCATTCTCAGCGCTTTCTATTTAGGTATATCAGAAGGATTTTTCAAGTTTTTAACGACATGACATTTTTTTAAAAAGATAAAATAATTATCTTTTCTTGTTATAAAAGTAACAAATGAAATCAATAAATATATTTTAAAAATAGTGGACAAATAAAAT